AGGGGAAGGGGGGAGGGAGGAGGGCGAAAGGGATAATTAGGCACATGTGTGTGGTGATGGGTTGTAAATAGTATTTGGGTGGTGAACATGATGTAATCTATGCAGAAATAGAAGTATAATGATGTACATCTGAAATTTATACAACGTTATAAACCAATGTTACTGCAATAAACAAAAAACTTAAAACAAAACAAAACAAAATAAATATGGAATCCCAAACTTATAGTGATATCACAGGTATGTAAATTTCTATTCCTATTGAAACCACCTGGCTTCCAATGAGTTCAGTCAACGACCAGCACTGTAGACCAGAAGGCGCTGTGTGTGAGTTTCATTATGCCACCAAGAACAATCCATAGGCAGTTTACTGAGATGTTCTGTCAAAAAAGGGCCACCCGGTGGCGCAAGTGGTTAAGTGCACCTGCTCCGCTGCAGCGGCTCAGGGTTCGCCGGTTCGGATCGCGGGCGCGCACCGACGCACCGTTTGGCACGCCATGCTGTGGCGGCATCCCATATAAAGTGGAGGAAGATGGGCATGGATGTTAGCCCAGGGCCTGTCTTCCTCAGCAAAAAAATGAGGAGGATGGGCAGATGCTAGCACAGGGCCAACCCTCCTCACAAAAAAAAAAAATAAATAAAAATAAGGGCCACCTACCATGAACAGGGCTTCATAATTTTCAATCATTTTCTGCACCACAGCGATGATGGCTGTGCTCTCCTCAGCCCTGGCCGAACTCTGGACCGAGAATTCTTTGTCTGACGACTTCTGCTTGTGCAGCAGGTTGGGTCCAAATATGGTGGCCAAGTTTAGCGATGTCATTTTGTTCCCAGTGACCTACAGGAGCAGAGAATACAAGGATTGTTGTTACTTTTGCTTTTCAAAATGGTGGGTGGTTCAATAATCAATGGAACCTTTTTCCTTTCCTTGTTTTTTTTTGAAAGGACTACATCGTCTCTGGCAGAACCCATGAGGAGCACCATCATTTTTCTTTTACTTCATTTCTTGGATTGAAGTTCATAGCTCAGTGGTCATGTCAATAGCATACGGAGTAAAATTTTACAACTCTAAGTTATTTATTGTGAAACTGGTACTATACAAAATTTCTATCCTGTTTGCTCTTAAAAAATATTGATGTCCATCCATCTATTCATTCATCCACCCATCCATCCATCTATCCCTTCATCCATCAATCCATTATCTCTCCATTAATTCCTCCACTCAGCACCTATCATAGGCTAGGCATTTTTCATGGATTCTAATTATTTAAAAAATTTTCCAACAATGATCACAACACAGTCCTTATTTTAAAGGGTTCACATTCTAGAGGGCAAATAAACTTATCAATTACAAGTAGTGAGTACAAAGTATGAAGCTATCAACTCCAGAGGACCCAAGGACACTCCAAAGAGGTGGCAACATTTACACACAACCTTGAAGGAAGAATAGAGCTTGTATGCTGAAAAGCAGAGGAGCTGGGATGGGGGCAATTTCACAGTGGTGAGAACACCAGACGCAAAGACAGAAACATGTAAAATACATCAAGGCACCCTGGGAAACTCAGTGTGGCAGAGGGTTCTGCAGGAAAGGCAGACAAGGGCCGGGCGAGAGTCATTGCCACATGTTCCCCTGTGGGGCAAAATTGCCTCTGGTTGAGAACCACTGGTGTAGGCAAATTTTTATTTCTCATGTTGATATTAATTGAAAATCTAGGAACGTCTGGCTAAGTATGGGAACTGTGGCTGCTTGGTGGGGATCCTTTGCATGTGAAAATCTGCACAGCCTTTGGAGGCACCTGGGTGTGCAGCATAGAATACAAGAGTCCTGATTCACAGCTGACACAAAGCCTCCTGTGTCCCACTCTTGTCGCGTGGAGCCCTGAGCCCTGAGCTGGTGGCTACCCCGCCCTGCAATCCCAGCATGGCACATCAGGGGCGTTATTTTTAGAAGGTGAGCTCTGTTCAGCTTTGCTGCCAAGTGAAATGATTTCATGTGGTGAACACTGGGAATTTTCAAGAAAGTGCCCTTTATGAACAACTGTTTAATTCTTTGTTTTATTTCATCGATATAAAACTTGACAAGTTTTCATTTCTCTTCCTGGAAATTCATGGTTAAGGATAAAATCAAATATGTACCATTTTCAAATTTATCCCTTTAGAACTCAGAGGCATTTGGAGTGCTTCCCCTTCCCCTCTTAAAGTAATATTAGGGTTTTCTCTTTTGTTAAACATTAACAAATAGAAGATTTTGTTTTCCTTTAAAAGAATGTTTAGTACAAGGACTCTTTCCCCTCTCTCCTTCTCCTGTTGCTATTCTGGGAAGGCAATACAATCTGTCTGTAAAATTGCACACAGATTCCAGCTGCAGACCACGCTGCTATGGTTTGTTAACGCTTTTTTTGTTTTTGTTTGACTGTTTTTTAAATTGGAAAGGAGACTTGTGCGCAGAAGCTTCCACCCTCGCTCCTGTGTTTCAGGATATATATAGCTATGTCTGGGTAATCTAATGTGCACCTGGGGCTGGTTCATTATTTAATTATTAGCCAGTCAATTCGAGGAAAATTTTTATCTTGACTAAATAAGCATTCTACATCATTTATAAACCTAGCATGCATAGCTCACATTTATTAAAACTTTAGCATGTACAGTCTCGGGTGGGGGCTTTCCAAAGGCTGTTTCAATTCTTTCTCACTATAAGCTCACGAAGCAGCTGCTGCTGTTGTCCTTTTTCACAGACAGGGAAGTGATGCCAAGAGCCCCTCCCACCGTTCACTCTTGCGTGGCAGACTCTGTCACAGCATGGGGAAATGGGGAAACTAGCTTCAAAGCCAGGTCAGGACCAGGGTGCGGAGAACAAGGCACTGGTCCTGCTACAGTTCCAAAGCTAACCTTCCATTTTCTAGAGGCATGTACCTCCTAAAAGATCAGGAATGCCGGCTCTACATTGGTGGTTTGTAACTTCTTTTTTGCCTCATAGACTCTTTGAAGAACTAAAAGCCTACTATGGACGCCCTCACCAAAAAAGTGTATATTCACAACATATTTTCCATGCAATGCCAGAGGGTTCTTGGAAAACCTGAAAAACCACTGCTCAAGAGGTTTCAATTATGTTCCTGCAATATTCTTTCTAGAAGAAATGAAATCTTTCTTACATTTGGGAATTTCTCTTTTCCCCTAAGGAGCAAAGCAAACAGCAAACTAAATGAAATGGAATAAAACAAAACAAACACAAGATAGCAAAAACAACACAATCCGATAAAATACCACTATTTTTTCCCAAGAAAAGCACTGATTGACTAGTCAACAATTTTTCTCATGCCCTTCTTTTAGACATCTTTAAGATCCCATTAGTTAGTGATGTATTGAATTTTGAGTACTTGTTAGAAAGGAAATATTATGTTCATTTTATAGAGGAGGAAGCTCAGAACTCTTCCCACCCCAACTCTGTTTTCCTTCCTCTTCCTCTATTTTATAAAACAAGGTCATGTAGCAAGGTGCTGGCAGAGCCTGTGTGAGCCTCTAAGCTTTTGGATGCTCTGGTTCAGTTTTCTTTCATGTTGCAATCCATAACAACTACCCAACAAACAGATAACACATCTAACACCAACTAACAAATAGGTAAGAGAAAAAGTTGAAAACTGCTTTGTTTCTTACCATATTTTACAAATTGATTTTTGCCTCACTCTCGTCTGCTCATTCTGTGTTCTCTACCTGCTCACACCAAACCAACTAGAAAAATAATAAACAAAGAACCTACCTCTCATTTCTTTCCCACCACTCTTAACTTCTACCAGGAGGGTTTTGTTTTTTTGTTTTTCTGTTTTTAGCTAACTCCCATTCCTATGCCATGCTTATGTGGCCCGTTTACTCTATCCCTACACACCCTTTATTCAATTCCTACACACACTGATGTGTAGTTTAAATTCAGTCTCCTCCATGAAGCCATCCCTAACTTTTCTGGCCCATGTTCAGCACTTCTTCTCTGAAGTTCTGCAGTGGGTCCTCACCTCTTCCAATTCCTAGATGCCACAGCATCCCAGAAACAGTAATTAGAAAATTCCTGAACAACGCTCACTGGTTTAGAGGAACTTGGGGTAAGTGCTCAGGACATATGTGATTCAAATACCAAGGCCATTCTTACATGGGAACGTTTATAATGTGAATTGCTATTTTCCGTATTGTTTTTCATGCAAAAGCTTCCTAACTTACTCTCTCCTTGTCTCTAACCAATCTACAACATGGATTATATCACTTTAGTGGAATCCTTCCAAAGATTCAGGACTTAAAAGAATTAACCACCTACCCCCTTGCAAAGACATTCAGTACTCTATGAGCATAGCCCAATTTCCCCTCATACCTCACCAGTACTTCCTCATTCCATAGCCTTTATTCCAATCCAGGATGGTGTGTGGGCTACTTGCTTTCCTGTAACTACTAACCATTTCACAGAAGCAATGCTTTCCTCATATTTCCCCTGCTGCTTTAATTTTTGGTTACTAGTCATTCATTTTTATTCAAGGTTTAGGTCAAGAGTATCTAGAAACCCTTGCGATCTCTTGCTTTCCTGTACAACTTTGCTGTTACCAGGGTATTTTCACATTCCTTATAGTAAACTAGTCTTGTCAACCACTATGCAGTGCCAGATGAAGAACATTTATTCCAAAAGTTCAGATAAGGAAACTCAGGGTTAGGAAGGTTAATAGAATTCTCCAATAGATTTCTCATAGTCAGCGAGAGCACTACCAAGTGCTCTCAATCAGGGGTGATTTTGCCCCCATCCCCAATCCCCCACAGGATACTTGGCAACATCTAGAGAAACTTTTGATTATCACAACTGGGGTGAGGGGACCTGCTACTAGCATCAAGTGAGTAGAGGTCAGGGATGCTTCTAAGCGTCCCACAACGCACAGGGCAGCCCCCATAACAAAGAATTACCTGGTCCCAAATGTCAATTGTATAGAGGCTGGGAAACCCTGAACTAGACCCCCAGTTCAGGTTTTTTTCTACTTCTTATTCTATCAAAACTGTTTCTGTTCTTAGTAAGTTGGACTGGTTTGGGTTTGAGGCACAGCTAGGACTTTACTAGTCACAGGACCGACCCAACCACTACCCAATATGCCAACTTTGTGTGAATTTAAAAAGGATCCCATTCCTTAAGATATTTTACTGACATCTGCTGGGATATTGTCCTAATAACTCTGCAAATTTACAATGACTGTGGGGTACATGGCGCCTCTCCCAGAGTTATGAAATGCACAAATGTGCAACTTGCACAACCACAAGTGGATGCTCCCCGTGGGACACTGAGCAAGTTACTTAACCCCTCTAGCCCTTAGTTTCCACCTCTGAAACATGGGGGCAATGATATCTCTCTTGTGTAAAGAAAGATTAACTATAATATATAAAGCCCCTAGCACACAGCCAGCACATGGTAGGAGACACACACATGGTAGCTAGTATTTCAGCATGCTAACCTTCATTTGTACCTATTCAAGAATATTTTCTTCTCTTTGGCATAGGCAGTGGAGTCCTGTTTGGCATTTGGATGGAAAGAGTATCTGACAATTATTCTAAAAAAGCAAGAGTGAGTTAGTTCAGTTGGACTTTTCGTTTTCCTCAATGCTTTCATTTCTTTTTTTTTGAGGAAGATTGGCCTTACGCTAACATCTGTTGCCAATCTTCCTTTTTTTTCTCCCCACAGCCCAGGCACATTGTTGTACATCATAGTTGCAGAGTTGTAGCTCTTCTATATGGGACACCACCTCAGCATGGTTTTGATGAGCGGTGAGTATGTCCGCGCCCAGGATCCGAACCGGCGAACCCTGGGCCGCAGAAGTGGAATGTGCAAACCTAAACGCTATGCCACTGGGCTGGCCCCTTCCTCAATGCTTTCTTAATCACCTAAAACCTGACTTTTCCCTTCTCACATAGTACTTAAGAAATGTCAGAGAAGCAACTGACATACCTAGGAACACAGAGGGCTCTGCCTTTACCCAATGATTAGGCAGATGATTCTACAGCTTCTGTTATATCCATAGTTGATAAAGGATGACACCCAGATGGGTAATATAACTACTTAACAATTATGAGAATTATAGCACATCTATTGAAGAGCTGTGTCTGCTGAAATAAGGTGTCAGTGCCATATTATGAAACCTGAAACCAGCAGAGGTTTCACTAATTATAACTACTGTGAAGATAAATGGCTAATGCAGGAAAGTTCCATTCTCATACCAATAGAGGGGATGAGGATAAGAAATGCAGAACTGCCTTTCTGGACTAAAATGAAAAAAATTATATATGACCATGACTTTTGGGAAAGAAATTTGACAAACACAGAATTGAATCCATAACACAGCTGAGTTCTGCTTAACAAGGATTTAAAAGACAAGTTTCTGTGGTTAAGTAAGTTTGAAATGCCTTTGGCCCCTTCTTGTTGATTTACAATGCATGTTAGCATATTATAGGGTCTGAGATCTCCTGGAGAATCCAAGGTCAAGGAGAAGTATGACTGCATGGTATCATAAAGGGAAACAGTCTCTTGTTAAGGTGAAGATTAAATAGGTTGCTTGCTAAAAGGTCACCTAAAATTGAGGCCAGCGTCACCTTTGTCCAAGGGTGAAACTGAAACACACCTTGAAGTATATGAGTGTGACCGAAGAGAACCAGAGCCCAAGACCTTAGATGGGGGGTCACACTAGTGCCTGAGTGGGGACCAGGTCCTATAAAAACATCCCAAAAGGGTCCATGGAACTGTGCAGAACCTGTCTTCAGCAGTCGACATCATGTGGCAATGGTCAGCAGATCAGACCTTCTAGTTCCCTCTACACCTGGTTTGGAAGCAGGACTGACTCTCCATTGCATTGAGCCAGTCCCTATTTTGGGCGGAGGGTTTAAAGAGAGAAAGGATCTCTCAAAAGGAAGATACTAGATTTCTAGCTACAGGGAACATGGGAGCTCCCGGGAGAAACTGGAAGAATAGAGAGGTGACATCATGTTCAGGCTCCGAGTTAAAGAAGCAGGTCAAATTAATCACAAGGACAGCAATCTCCCCCATCTCTATCACTCCATTTTTTCATGATTGTAAGCTTCTCTGTAGCTCGCTGTTTGTCTTCTTCGCACAAATGGAAATTCAAAGTCTCGAGTAAAGCATCATCATGGAAAATGACAGCCTCATTTGGAAGTATTCTTGAAACATGGGAGGTTAATGGCCTATGTGCACTTAGGAACTGTCCCTCCCGAGAAAACCCTGCATCAGTTCTTCTTCCTACATAGACAGAGAGGTTGGGAAAGGGGAGGTGTCATTTCCTCCAGGGGAAATGTTTAACCAAATTGATGGCTTGCCCTTTGAAAACAGGAGGAAGGAAGAGTCACAGCATCTATGGCTGCAGAGGAGTGCCTACCTCTTGTCCATCTTTGCTGATGTTGTCATCGGCGTGCCTGGCCACGATGGAGAGGAACTGTAGCAGGCGGTGGAGCGTGTCGCAGTTGCAGGGAGGTAGAAGGTAGATGAGGAGCTGCAAGGTGCCCAGCTGTTCCTCTGGCTCCAACACTAAGCAAGGCAAAAAGGGGCACTCTGTGTAAGTAAAAGAGAAAACTCACACCATTCAGCCTCGGAGGAGAGGCCCCTCTCAGCTGTCTTCAGAAAGGGATCATCAAGGCAAGTCACATTTCATTCCTTCACCCACTCTCTCATTGGTTTAGCAATTTAGCAGCAGGTTCTCTGAAGGATATAAAGATAAACTAGACCTGGGGAAATGTGGCAGCTAGAGAAAGCATTGTAATCCAGGCTAGAAAGGTAACTTAATTCCCCTTCCTTTCTTCTCCCTCCTTGCCCTGGTGTAACTTGTCATGTACTTTATGGATTGCAGTCTTTCATTGTTGGTAAATATTTACTAACAATGACTGAGAATTGGTGAACATTCTAAAATTTGAGTTTATGACAGATTTGAGGCCCTTTTCTGTTGAGTAATACATAAGGGATAGACTTTTTTTTTGGCAATAACCAAGACACAGCACAATGACAATGTCTTCTCTCTCTTTTGTAATCCTGTTTTAATTGTAGCATTGGAGGAAGAAATATATGGAGGTGGATACAGCTCTGCCCTATTCCTCCCCACCTCACCCTCTTTTTGTCCTCCATGGGATCTGTGTCTATAGCCCTGAAGCAGCCACACTGAAAGTCCCGGCAACGGGCTATGCCATCTTGCTTCCCTGAAATGTTGCCTGCCTCCTTTTCACTCTGGGCTCCTGTGGCTACCTCCTTCCTCACACCAGAAATGCAAACTCATTTTTAGGCACAGACTCAATGTGAACTCTTGCTGTTACTCCAAAGCATCAATTTATAGCACTTTCTACTGTCCTACAGTCATTTGAAAGCATCCCAAATTCTTCTTGGCTACTTCCATTTGTTTTATTGCAACTTCCTTCTTGCTAATTCTCCCAAGGGTAAATCTCAGATAATTCCCCAAATAGCTTACTTATTAGAGACCAATAAATAAGGACAAAAAAAGTTATCAGGAAATGCATGCACAAGGTTCTGATGAGTGAGTTGGACATCCCAGTAATCCAGGGACACTCTCCTTCAAATGGCCGTATTACTCACAGAGAGTATTGATGAAAGCTGTGTACAGCTCCCTGGTGAGAAGGGGGTCTGGCATGTCCCTCAGGAACTCTTTCAACAAGGCAGCCACATCATGAACACTGTGCTCTTCCTCCAGAGAGACATCAACTCCACGGTCAAATTCCTCACGTAACTGGAAAAATAAAGATTCAAGTGGCAGTCAGGTAACACCGTACCTTAACACTTAGTGCCCAGCAAAAGAAGTGCTGTGACACGCAGCATCTGGTATTAAATTTGCACAGACCCCAAGAAGGAGAAGCAAACAACATGTCACCTTGATCTACACAGTCTATGCAACCCAGCCATGAATATATACATATATATATATGAAATGTGTTATTAAATAAAAGTATCTGTGGGTTTACCACTAATGATACAAGCAGAAGGGCTCAATAATGACATCCAAAAGGTTGGGAGGAAGATCTAAAGGGTTAGGTCAACTGTAAATGTGGGCGGGAGGAATTAATCTATTATACAGCAGTTTTGCAAGTCAGCAATCCTACCATGTTGGAATTTTGACATTTTACAGAAATACTCGACAAGAAAGCAAAGAGATTTTTCCACAAACAATGAAATCAAAAAACCCTGATAAACCATTTGTGACTAAGGCTTGAAAGATGACAATAAGTAAATAAAATCTGCCTTAGATTTGTCAAAGTAGCCTTATGAACAATTCCCAGCAAGATTCTCTGCCTTAATGGTTATACTGAGTCTATTAGCATTTATAACAGCATGAAAACACAATAGCAAGAAAGGAGTCATAACTCTACACCCTTCTTTCATCTGTGACAGCTTAACTTCTCTTATATGTTGTTCTCTGCTGTAAAAATAATTATGAGTTCATGAATCTACTCTATGCAATAAACTTCGATAAGAGTTCATTTGTTCAATCATTCATTCATTCAACAAAGATGTACTGCACACTTCCCGTGTACCAGGCCTTGTTATAGGCCATCGAAGTACGGTGGTGAATAAACAGGAAAGTCCTTACTCTCCCCCAGCTCTCAGGCTGATAGAGAGACAGGTGATAAACTGGTAATCCCACAAATGATTAATTAGCTCTTAATATCATGACAATTGTTCTGAAGAAAAAGTGTTGGGTGCTAATAGATGAAATAACAAGATAAAATGGTGAGTGAGAGCTTATTTCATACTGGAAATCTAAGTCTAAATAATCACTGATTATATTGTTATTGGATAATCCTTAAATAAATCTCCATGCAAAGATATTCCCTTTGGTGGATCCAGATACAACCAAGGAATAATTTCTGACACTCGCCACCTCTCTACCTGATGAGAATGCCCATTACTCTCCTGAATTAATTGTTCATTGATTCCAGGCAACTCGTCATTAGTGTGCATCAGGCAGCCAGAACGAAGAAGGCTTCTGTCAGCACCACTTCTATTTGTGATCATTCAAACACACCATGTTTCTTTTCTGAGCACACACACATGCAGAAAGAATGGATTGTGGAAAGAGCTTGGTATAAGTTGTGTGACCTTGAATTTAACATTGATCTTGAATTTAACACTGGTTAAATTGTGTGATCTTGAATTAAGTTTCTTAATCTCTCTCAGCCTCAAATGAAGTGGGTGAAAGCTGGTGGGTGGATTCAATGAGATAATGTTTGTGAAAATATTCTGCAATTCTGCACAGGTGAGAGGCCTAAGAAATGTTACTATGCTATCTTCCTTCCTGAAAGTTCTGTTGTGAAATGTTGAATGTTGTTCAATAGTCTCTTGTGTGACTATTTTATTAAAAATAAAAACCAACCAACCAAACAAACAGAAAACATACTTCTTCTGAAAGCCCCTTTTATCTTGACAAAAAAGATATATGAGGAGGCATTTATTTCAGTTAGTTTCAATAATGTGAACAAATATCATTTCTTCAGCTTCATCCAACTAAAAATTATTTTCCTTTGGCTTCACTTTTGAGTTGCTGAGTTCCTTACTTCTTTCTGTTGGAACCAACAGAGGGAAAATAACATTTTAATTTTCTTTTAGCCAACAAATAAATTCTTTTCTCAAAGGATGGTTTGCCTTTTATGAAGCCATCACAAACACGGATACCCGCCTGGTCATAGGAACCTATTCCTGAAGGTCTAATATCAAACTTCTGTTGCAAGAATGTGGCACAGTGCTGAAGGAAACCAAGGGGTACAGTCCCTACGTGAAAAATGAATTGAGGATCAATGGTTCTCTGGACACTTAATGAGAATTATTTATTTTTGAGAAAGTAAAGCTACAAGTATAGCACCTTTTATGAAGAGAATGTTAATGGCATTATTCATATTGCATTTTAGTAAAAATGGATGCTATACAATTGTTTTCTATTTATTATCACTTACTGAATAGGTACTTCCTGAATCCCCTGCTTTTACAGTTTCAATAAGGTATTTATAAATGAGTTTTGTTTGGCTGTACGTGCCATGGACACATCCAGACGTTTTGCTTTCAAGTGTTTGATTCTAACTCTATCACAACCTTTCTGAGCTTCTGAGTTGTTGCCTTTTACCTCTTTGGGCTCAATTATACTATAATTGGTGGGAGGGTACAGAAAAGATATTCAGAAATGAATTTGCATGAGCTTGAACTTTGCACAAGGTAATTCAACTGAAAGTCAAGTGAAATGTACAATATAACCTCACTTTTCACTTACTTGTCTCACTCTCTTTTTTGAGCTTCCAACTCGGAATATCCCCACTGTCTGGAGGCCTGCAAATAAGTAAACAAAATCAACAGTCCTGTTTTATGGCTTGAAACTCTGGAGAAAATCAAAATAGAAATACAATAGAATGCCAGCACTGTGCTGCAACATGCAGAGCAATAGTAACTTGACAGCGTGCACTAATGCTTATTTAGCCCACACTATATTCTCCAGCTACCCAAAGGTCAGCCCTATAAGCACCAGGATCATTTTATGTTAAACATTTCTGATGAAAAATTTTTCATGTGGTATTATGTATTTCCACACCTTCTCCGTATGAAAAAGATAGTGTAACTTTTTCTTCATTATTCAGAATAATTACCTAAACATGAATTTTATATGAATTTTTAGCTCTTTATCGATTTTATTATTAGGTAATATTGATAATAAATGAATGAATTATTTTATTGTTATAGTACATAACTGATTATCACTTTTATATGGGAAATAGATATCTTTTTGTATATTTATTTTATGGCCTCACGACATTATGTATTAAGTATAAGACTTTTTTAGTTGATTTTCCAGGGTTTTATAGTTAGAAAAGATACCACCCATAAATAAACATCCAATTTATCAGCTCTGTATTTTACAAATGGTGTCCTGAATTTCCAGAATAATCTGAGAGATCCAAGCTGATTTGCATAAGCACATATTGGTGCTTTGCTCTTGGGTGGGATTTTGCTTTGCATCTATTTTCAAAAGACTTCTGTACTCTCCTTGTTGCTGCTATCAATTTGCCTCATAACTGAGTCCACCCCCAGCCTAATTTATTGCTTCTTCCTCTCTGGGAACTTGAAAACAGGGTAACCAAACTATTTAGAATAAAATCCAGAACTATATTTCTTCATCTGCAAAATGAGCATAATAAGTATCCACCTCAATAGTTATGAATGATTCAATTTACTAATGCATATAAAATACTTAGAATCATATCTGGCATCTACTATTATGCAGAGAGAAACAGCCCTGACTGAACTGAATGGATCTTCTTTGCGCAAAATAGAAAAATTTAACATAATGGTAGGTCTTAGCAATTTTAATTTTGGCTGCATTTATTTTCTTATTTTCCGATGGTTTCCGAATAGTTGAAATTTCTACATAAGTGAGATATCACATAAGGGCATTTTCTACACTATTCATTTGGCTGAATTCCTCTAGACTGTTCAGAAATGCCCATTTCTATGACATTATTTCTTCAATTATAGTACTTTTCCACTCGGTAAAAATGACTATGATTTAAAAAATAACTAGTTAGTGACTGATTGCTGTAATTCTTATGTATCTCAATTGATTATAATCTCTTTTTTGTTTTTAAAATATTTATTTATTTATTTTTAGGTAGAGCAAATGACAGCCTTCAGACAGCCAATGCTGTTCTCTGACATAAGCCTTACAGTGATTTTCCTCAAAGAAAAGGTACAGTCCAGGCATTCGGTAACCTTGACTTAAGACAGTCACTGATAAAAACAGATGTACACCAAAAAAGACATAGATCTGGCAAAGAAACGTGACTTTGCTGTGTCTTGCCCCAGAAATCGACATGATCACCTTTCTCTCCCTTTCATCAGAAACTGAGATGGCAACTAGATCTGGGGCGCCTGAATCTCAGGCTTAGGGAATTCGAGTAATGAGGGCAGGCATAATAAGCAGGAGGCCCCACTTTAACATCAGCCTAAATCCCAGAAATATAATCGAGTCTGACTCTTTGTTATATTGTCTTTTTTTTTTTTTTTGAAATGTGTGCTTCTGGGAAATTAAGGATGCTTAAGGAATTTTGACCTAATAGTAAAGAAAGCATTTGGGTGAAATATAAGTAGGGAAATGTAGTGTACCAGATTGTAGACGGAGTCAAGATAATTGTCCAAGACCAATTCTGGAGAGAATGAAAAGCTCTCTGACAGATGTTTATAAGGCTAAAGTGAATCACTCCCTGCTACCCATTTCAAAAACCGGCAGATAAAATCTTGTGCAAGATTCGTTTTTGAAGTTTGCTCTTTTTTCATTGGTTTAAAGTGACCAAGATTAATATCTGTCTGAATTTGAACATGTCTCTTATTTTTCAAGAGCCATTTGGTCTAAACACCATGGAAACCCAGAACAGAATCAGGGCCTTGAAAGATCACCTGGTCATCACCTTTCCTTTAGGCCCTAAACTGCATTTTAACTATTCCGAAAAGAAAGTGAACTGCACTGTTTTTTAGTAAGCACAAAGGAAATGCTATTTTACACATTGTAATTCATGAAAATTTATTTTCAAAAAGAAAATAGAAAGAAAAACCAAGTTTTCTTTTTTGTTCACAAAAACAGTTACTCAACCTGGCACTGGAATTTTGCGTGATTGGAGTAGAATTTTATCATTTAGAATTCTTTAAAATGCTTACAGTTCACTTTCTACATTCTTTATAGGAAAAAATTATAATTATAAAAGTATGTGTCTTTTTTTCTACCTCATAGTGATATTTAGGCTGAATTTACATATTCACAGTACTGAACTCTAGTTACTAAGTTATTTTTAAAAATAATTCTGTTCAAGTAATACTTAGTGAACGTCTATGTTGTGTTGATCATGGTACTAAGTGTTGGAAATTCAAAATGACTAACACACTTTCCTTGACCTCCAGTTTACTTTCCAAGGAGGAGAGGCAGATAAATAAACACACACACATATTAAAATTTTGTATAAACAAACTTTCAATACATATTAATTTTATTAAGTCATCCAAATGCTGTCTAGTGACATCCATATATAATTAATTGATTAAGAGATTTAGATATTTCCTTAATAATTTTTCTATGAAGTCTCACTTTTATTAGAAAGAAATAGATGAGAATTTTAACAGTAGTTATGTCTACACGATAGCCTCAGAATTTTCTTTGCTTGTCTGTTTCTTTTTTGTCTTTATTACAACGAGCATATTATTTTTATAGTAAAGAAGCAATTAATAAACTTTTCTAATGCCCATCAAATACATGCTAACATTACAGCAAACAAATTCAGATTATGGAAATGGCAGTTTGATGTGCCAAAAGTCTAAATTTCAGAAAAATTTTAAAAAACTGTACATCATTTTTAAGTCAACATGTTAACTGGAACTGAGTCACCAAAAGAATCATCATGAAGAAATTTTAAGTGGATGTCTTTCCACAAAAATGCAGGTAGCAATATAGAAACCTGTTGTCAAAAACTACGTATTTTCGATTCACTTAAGGAATGGTTTTCAAATCTTTTTTTAAAAGAAGTTGGACTATTATTTTTTAAAGGAAGCCTTGTGAGTAACCTCAATGTATAAAAAAGATAAAAGTGGCCCTGCTCAAGGGGCCAGCCTGGTGGAATAGCGGTTAAGTTTGTGCGTTCTACTTCGGCAGCCCGGGGTTCCCTGGTTCTGATCCTGGGCGTGGACCTACTCACTGCTCATCAAGCCATGCTGAGGCAGTGTCCCACATAGAAGAACCAGAAGTACCTACAACTAGGATGCACAACTATATACTAGAGCTTTGGGGGGGGGAAGAAAAAGAAAAAGACAAAGATTGGCCACAGATGTTAGCACAGGGCCCATCTTCTTCTTCTTCAAAAAAAATGGCTCTGCTCTGTTTGAAGGGGGTCCTGGGGACAGACCCAGCCTGACAGATCTTGCCTTCACCTAAATCATTTGGCCTCCAGGGTGCCTTCTGAGGACTCTCAGGTGCTGGGCAGTCTGAATACCATCAAGTTGATTACCCCCCACCCCCCCAGGAATCTGTTAAGCAAACACCCATACCTGTAAACTTTCTTCACAAAGGAAATTTTGGCCCAGACCCTGATCAATGAACACAGAATTGAAATTGGGTGCTTAAATGAATGAGGATTGAATAAATAAAAGTCTTTAGTACTTGCTCACTGTCAGTCAAGTCTGCTTACCATGTTTTTCTAGATGTTGACAGCAGCTGTCCACCAGTCTGGGGACTTGTCTGTAAATAGGATTCAGACTGAGTTTCTTATCTCTGGCTTTTTCTTTTTTATTTTGAGCCTCAGCAGGCAAGGAGAGTTGTAAAGCTTCCAGCAGTCGAGACTGATTGTCATCAAGATCTGTGATAGAATCCACTGACATTGCACCCTGCAAATTACACACAGCCATCAGCCAAGTGTGCAAGGGAGAAAATAAAAACAGCTTCCCCCACATGCTAGCCAATAAATACTTTTGCCCATGAATATTTATGACACTTGAAATAATACTGCTTGATTTAATTGTGCTGTTTATATATTAAAAGAAAAAAAACCACTTTTTGTAAAAGTAAGGAAACCTCCACAACATAGGGTAAGGTAATGGCAATTACAATTTCAACAAGAGACAACATTTTCCAAATGGAAGACAAGAGATGGCAAATGTATCATTAAAATATTTTGACCCAACCACTTCATTTCTTGAAACAAGAAAAAATCACATACTCAATGAATGAGGTAAAGTCAGAGAAGTCTTGTGAATAAAAAAAACCTCAACTATGACTCTAAGAAGTAGATGTTTAAAGTAGGAGGATTCCATAAAACAGTCTTAATTTGCTTTCCTCCAGAAGTGGCACAAAGCACTTTACTAGGGAAGTGGTCCCAGGAGACACTTGTAGAGTGGGGAAATGAGAAAGGGAAGTGAAGGCAGCCAATTAAGGGAGCATCACCAACCCCATGAGCACCAGGCACAGCTGGAGCCCAATTGCCCTGGGACCTCTGGGAGCCAATGTAGATCATGCACCCCAGAGGTATCGCTGCTAAGGAGCGAGGCAGCTGGGGTATTTATACCACAAGTCTCAAGAGTCATTGATTAAGGGCAGCTTCTGGTAGGGGCAGGGAGGTGACATTAATGTCTTGGTACTTGCAGCCTGTCATCTGCATGGGTGGGTGCCTCTGGCCATTAGAGAAAACAAAGAGACGAAGTGCTGGCAGGTGGAAGGAGGGCTGGCATGCTAGGAATGGTAAAGGCTGAGGGGAAGGGAGCAGGGCATCAACCACGTCTGTATAGCTACCTATCCTTTGATGAAGCGTAGAGGAAGAAGTTGGCTGCTGGTGTGCTAGCAAGGCCTGGACAGAGGAGAGGGCATTTGGGAGGCCCATTGCCAGGGCTCTAGACTTCCAGAAAGCTCAAATGTGGAGTTTTGGTTTTATTGCCATATAGGTTTATACACACAGTCTGAGAGACAATGACGGGATTGGAAGAACAATTCCATCACGCAAATTCAAATATTCCATAATGTTGTCACTTCTTCATTTTTAAACATAGCTGAAGCCTTGAAAAACAGCAGTGGCTCAGGTACCCTTCTATCTTGGAGAGGTCCTGAATGCTGGAGGCTGATTGAGAAATGTGGATTTTAAGTGGGAAGTATCTGCGGTTTTAACTAGGGCAGTAGTCAACGGCTGGAGGTGGCAAAGATTTAGGGCCTCCAGGTGAGAGGAAAAGGAGAGAAGATTTCCCAGTGACCTAGGAAATTTTAGACATGCTTACCAACTGACTCAGCCAATTGCCAATCTATTTCCGTGAAAACTCAGCTTTCCTGGATTGAAATGTGAAATTTGAAACATCAAATAATAGGTAGCATATTGTTACAGTATTGATTTGAAAGGGGTTATATACAGGTTTCTATGGTTATGTTTGAGAAAAAAATTCTATTGATAAGAAAAAATCTCATTGTTTATAAGATTGGCAGCAAATTCACTAGGCCAGGCATGGTTTTCAGACTGAAGACGAGAGATGAACAAGAGTACCTGGCCTTGCCTCAAGCCTCACAGTCTCATGGGAAAGTCTAGTAATATAACAGAAGATTACACTAGAGCAGGATCAATGGTGATGTTGTAGAATGTTCAAGATATCACGGGGCACATGGGTATCCAAGGAGGGGCATGCAACAGCTTTGAGAGAAGTCAGGGGAAGGCTTCCAGGGTGTGCCAGGTGCCACATGGCCAGTGCAAATTCCCCGTGAATGAAGCTGTTGACAGATACCTGGACACAAAATACATTTCCAGTTTTCACAGAGCAAAGACTCACAGAATAACCTTATAACTCTTCAGTTGCCCTAGCATTGGTTTCAGAGAAAATACTGGCCAACTCACCCTCCTCCTGGCCCGAGGAGCTGGTTCCGGGGTATTTGGCGATGTTGACTCATTTGGTGTTTCCGAGGTGGAGCTGAGAGATGAGTTACTGCTTGAGAGTTCTTTATTTTGTCTTTTATTTCCAAATGGGAGGAGGGAAGCCACAAAATCGGATGCGTCCTTCTGCTCATCCCTCTGTGAGTCTTGCTTGAGTTTATAGGCCCGGTCATTTGCAATGACTTGGGATAAGGGCATTCCAAATGCCTGCGGGATGAATTCTGGAATCGAAAAACAAACATTCACTGAAGAACTGGACCAGTGAAGACTCTCACTCATGTTTCAGATCTAAGGGCAGACATATTCAAATGACTGTCTGCTGAAGAATTGATTGATCAATCAAAATACAGAGATGAATTTGTGTGTTTATCAGAGTGGTCCAAGTTTCTATTTCAATAAAGAAAGCTAATATGTATAAAGAACACAGGTTTTAGAAACCTAGGCCTTTAGTTTTTCTCCATATATCTCAAGTATGTTTTAAAGGAAATAACTTTATAGAGAAATAGGACATTTTTGATAAAACATAGGTAATACTTTATCCTCATGGGTACACAGTTTTACAAACTGTTAGTTTTTGATTATATGTCTCAAGAGCCCCTGAAGCTTACAAGGTATGAGAAGACTCTGAATTATCCATTCATTTGACACGCACTTATTGAACACTAACTACCTGCCGTGTCAAGCTACGCAATTGGAAGTACAAAGCTTAAAAAAGGCCTAGTCCTTGCTCTTGAAGGGTTCAGAGTGTTGGGTGGGGTGGGGGAGTGGAGAGTCAGATATGTAAATAATTATAATAATGTCTATCACGTACTATAATAGAGAGATGCATGAAGTGAAGATTGAAACTTAGGTGAGTGGATATACTTTGAGGTTCGCAGTAAAAGAGCCAGCATATGAAATGATAACCTGAGAGGCAGAGGACAGCTTGGGAAGAAGTTTGCTCTTTTTCCTTTGTGTTTCTTGTCCTCACATGCTGCCTCCAGTTGCTAGGTTGGGGCTGTCACTCTCATGTTCTATACTCAAGCCATTCTGCTGGCCACGTGCGGAAGTGGAGTCTCACCAGTAAATATCCAGTGAAGGGCCCAGGATACAATTTGTTAAATCCTCTAGTAAGGACAAGTTTGGGGAAGGAGCATAATGCAGAAATATACGGCATTTTTTTTTTTTTGTGAGGAAGATCAGCCCTGAGCTAACATCCATGCTAAGACTCCTCTTTTTTGCTGAGGAAGACCAGCTCTGAGTTAACATCTATTGCCAATCCTCCTCCTTTTTTTCCCCCAAAGCCCCAGTAGATAGTTGCATGTCGTAGTTGCACATCCTTCTAGTTGCTGTATGTGGGACACGGCCTCAGCATGGCCGGAGAAGCGGTGCGTCGGTGCGCGCCCGGGATCCGAACTCAGGCCGCCAGTAGTGGAGTGTGCGCACTTAGCTGCTAAGCCACGGGGCCGGCCCAAATTTACGGCTTTATTTGGAGATGTACATACAGTTGCTTTCTGAATCTCTGTAGTAAATCTATTTGTATACACATACAATGTAAGCATGCTGATCTTTAGGGCCAGGAATTTTATTGGCAAATATTTTAGATTCATGTTGAAAAGCATTAATAATTAAATTAAATGCATTATTTCTTTTAGACTCAAAATTAGGTCTCCTAGAAGCAGAAAACTGGAGTCCAGCCTCTTACTTGTTTTTATAACCCCTGTCAATAAAATCAGAATTATCAAAGGAAAAAAATTCTAAGGTTGTTTGTTCTTTGAAAGAAAAAGCTAACATTAAATCAGGTGGAAAGAGGCTTTAAAAGGTTTTCCTACCTGATCCATGGCAACATTTTTAACATCACTAGGCTAATGGCCAAGTCTACATTAAAAGCGGAAATGGCGGTTGAAAAGTCTGCACCTCTGGTTCTACCAAAACACGCAATTCGTTTTGAAGTGAAAAATAAAATCTTCAGAATTTTGGGATTTTCAGAGGATGCTTATCATTCTCTATCAACAAACTAGGTGGCATAGGATATTGCAAAAACATAATTTAGGCATTTGTTTTGAGTGATCAATGTGGACAGTGTAGAAAGGTCCAGTACTCACTACTGACAAAAGGCCATTTCCACTACTAGCAGAATTAGAAACCAAAGGGGACACCACAAGACCATCTGCCGTGTACCTCAGGATTTCTTGTGTGAATAAGCTCTGTCTTGCCTACAGGAAAAATCAAATAGTCTTGCTTCAAAAATGTTGAGGAAAGTCTAGAAACATGTGGATGGCAAGGCTGAGAGCTACACAGAATATACCAAAACTCGGGGTATAATAGCAAAAAAGACATTGATAAATGTATCAAGGGACACGTGTCTGCTCATGTAGGCATACGCATAGCAGGGATTTAATATGAGATGGGGACTACAGATTCCTCTCCTTGCTGGCTTTCCATATAAGGAAAACCAACCAGACTCATTTAGATTTCTAACATCCTGGAAAAAAAGGAAGAAAAATGGCGTCCTTTGGAATCTATCATTTTTAATATCTAGAAGTCTATCACTCTACTTGTAAATTGGAATAATTGACTACAAATTAAACAGGTGGAATACATAAAATCATTCTCCTGAAATTTTTATTTCTCTTTTATTCCCATTCAATAGATGTAGCCCCCTATAATAGATTTTTATTTCTCTCTAATAGGCTTTCTTTCCTGGCTGAGTTTATTTATTCTTTCAGTAGTAGAGTTTTGATGTAGTCTCTTTAGTTTCTTGTTGCTTTCTCTTGAGGACTCTCACAAGCTTCAGAAAGGAGACCCCTCTATGCTCTAAACTTTTATTGCAGTGTCTAGTCTCTGTAAAATTCTAGGCAGGATTCCTCGAATATTATTCCTTCCCAACATATGGTTATTGTGAAATTGAGGACTCATCACAAGTCTATTGAGCAAAACACTCTTTTATGTGTAAATAAAGTGTCGGGCTCATATGCTTATCTGTGGGTTCAAAGCTCTTTTTCTAGGGAAAAAGGAACCTAGAGACTCTTTGTGTTGATAGTGGCTAATAAAGTTGATAATAGGCTTTTAAAACCATAAGGACATTACCCAACACTCACTTGTTCTGGGGCCAGGAACAGTGTGTATCTATCACATTTTAATCTAGAGTATGTGCTCACTAGGAAGATTAGTTTCCCTGCTGTCCTCATTTGTAACGACTGCCTACTCTCCCCACCTATGAACTGTGGGGTCGGGAGGTGGGACGCCATCCTCTTTGCCCCCTACTGCAACTTCCAGGTCTTCACCCTCACATAGTGTGGCAGAAACCTGCTACAACAAGGTGCCCATTGTCTCCTGCTCATTGTTGTCTTCTATTGTTGTTGACTTTGACTCATAGTCAGACGCCCAGTCTACCACCATCCTGGGTGACTTGGATATCTACCTAAATGACCCATCCGATTCTCTGTCCTCACATCTTCTCCTCTCCTCTTCTCTTACTTTTTCCTGCATGCCACCTTTCTCACCCACTCCCTCGGTCCCATTTTGGACTTTGTCCTCACCAGAAGTGATTCCACCTCTGGAATCAGGCTTCCTCCCTCCACTCTCATCTTACCCCTACCCCAAGTTCATGTTTTACACTGTAGTGTGGCAATCTGTTTAAAGACACCATTAAGTTTCCCCCTCCTTAATACACCTTGATGGTGTCTCAATGCTCTTAGCATGAGAACCAAAAGTTGTGCTGTGGCCCACACAGTCCTGTGTGAGCTAGCTCCTCTCTACTCTTCCCTGGAATCACACTCCCCCTGCTTCTCTCTTCTCCAGTAATAGCACTCAATGACAGCATCCAATATATTTTCTTTGAAAATTTCTATGCAGTGATAACAGATACTTGATTTTTCTACTGCTATTTAATAAAAAGATCCAAAAATAAAGTTGTATCAACTATTCCTATATAGTGCTACTTCACAACTCACATACAGTAGCACACTTAGAAAGTGAGGAACAATAAAACATGGCATAATATGATTTCAGTATAAAGAAAGGTGCCAGACCTGAACTATCTCCAGATTTTCTGTCGATAAATACATGGTATAGTCTGAAAATATCCTGGGGGGAAAGGACCTATCTCTCAGAGTTATGCCACAGTAAAAGCTATTCCCCTTGTACTCTGATTAAGAACCACATTAACTGGAACAAAGTAGTTATTTTTAAACCTTTTCTCTCAAAAGAGACTTCTTTTTGACACAAGAAAGAAATTTTCTGAAGTTCTGAAAGTTTAAAAAATACTATTTGGTTGCCAAGTAATTTAACTAAGAGAAATTAAGGACTTGGAACTATTCTGTATGAAGATATGTTTTCTGAACTAGCATCAATCTTGAATTAGTTTCCATATGGAAATCAAAAGTCATATGGGCACTGCTTAAGTGTCAGGAGGGACACAGGAGTGTCACATAATCTGCTGTATATTATGTCAAGGCAATTAAATACAATACAGGACATGATTCATTCTGATTGAATCAATTAATATAGTGGCATATCAAACATTTAATGAATCATTCTTTATTGGGAGAGCAATATGATTCTAAAAAGCTGCTTCTGTTTATTTTTAGATGACCTAACCCAAGAGGTCATTTAGAGTTTCCTGTTTTCTTTCTTTTACTCTTGGATTCAAATGATTATCATTTTTCACATGTGCAGCTATTATGAGCCCAAATGCTAATATTCCACTGGAAGGAAATAATGTGAACTAGTTACAACTGTGTGAGACCTGCACGCTTCCCCTCACACCCTGGTTCCCAGAACATCCATGCAATGGATGTGCTGCCATGGACAGGACTTTATGTTCAGAAAAGATGCCATATAATTAAGCTTCACTTAAGCCTAGGACATCTTCTTTTTAAACATCAAAGCTACTTTAAAAAAAAAAACAAACTTTTTGTCGTGAAGCCTGATATTTCTGTCCTTAGTTGGATGGGCAATGTGAATTTTCTTTGGAACCACCAGGACCTGCCTTCCTTTCCCAGCCAGATGCCCGTGCAGCCTTATAGAACACCGTCAAGTTTTCACTGAGCCTATGTAATATAGAAATATGATTTGGTCTGAAAAATGTATAATGGCCCAGTGCATATTGGTCGATTCCTTCCTCTGGCCCTTCCTTCCCTGCTCATTCACATTCTTGCTTTCTGCTGTTTTGTAATATAAACAAGCACACATACATCTCCTTCCATTGAGGGAACTCAAATATCTCCTGTAAAAGTGCTCTTTCTTCTTATTCTAGGCCGAATGGACACTTCTGAAGAATCATCTAAAGTCTATATGATGAGTATTCAAATCCCAGTATCAATATAATCATCCTAGAATAAACCAACTTTAAAAGATAACTTATTACTAATACCAGTCTGAGTGATCCCTTTAATGCGCTCTATAAACACCGAGAATTACTTTAATCTAGTGAGGTAAAGGTGCTCTATGGCAGGAATAGAATGAGCAAAAATTCTAGTTTAAAAGAGCTACCCCGGCTAATAATACTCATTAAAAAAAAGGGCAAGATCATATGAACCATTTAAATAAAATACAATTTATCAGACAAGGAATAGGTTGCTGGAGAAGAGTTAACACCCTTTGTTTGCCTTCACTATTCCAGCAGCAGATTCTGCTGTGATAGGACATGACCTGGTGAATATACTGGTTAATACAGACTGGAGCTCTCATCTTCAAGGTTGTACAATAGTAGCTTATAAAATTTACTCATGCCCAGCACTGCTGCAGAGCAATGGAATCAGATTTCTGGGGTGGGGGCCTGGGCATTGGTTTTTAAAGGTTCCACAAACGATTTTACTGTACAGTTAGGAGTAGGGATCATTGACATTTTCACCTCCTTTTCTCCAGTTTGAGGTAAACATTTGAAATGTTTGGAGATATTTTGGTTGGGGGCGGTGCTATTGGCATCTAGTGGTAGAGGCCAGGGATGTTGTTAAACATTTCACACAATGTACAGGACAGCCTCCACAACAGAGAATAATCCAGGCTAAAATGCCATAGTTCCAAGGTTGAGAAATCATGCTCTAAGGGAGTAAAACATTGGTTTTCCATTCTTTAGAATTCTTTATTTCCTTTTAGTCCAAAGAACCAAATGTCATGACCCTTTAGGCACAATTGAAGATACAGGTGTAGAGTCTGGGATCTGTGGTGTGGACTAGGTCTTGTCCAATACTGATCACAATGCATTTACTTTTATACCTTCAGTTTCATTGCCTTCCATTACTTTTCAAGCAGAAATTCAATCATTATACAAAAGAACTCCCAGGTGAGACATATAGCTCTCCTCACTCAACACTCATTCACTATGTCACATAAAATGAAAATACACTCATATGACCACGCCATTCAACAGTAATTTCATATGGGACCATAGAAACAAGACACAAAAAGTTGCACTGTGCTAATGGGGCCCAGGTGCCCATTATGCGGACTCAATGAATATTAGTTAAAAATGATCACAAATACCTCTGAAAGAGTGGCTAAAGTGTCAGTTCCCTAAATAGACATAGAAGGGGACACAAAACAGTATGAAGAGTGTCAACAATTCCTAAAACATATAGGGCAAAAATAAGCATGCTCTGATCTAACATAAAAATGCTGAGAATGGCCCATTTTCAGTAATCCATGAGGATGAGACTGTTTCTTTCCAGTAGTCATGGTCAGGCGAATCCAAACTCTTTCTCATTCAACTAGCTCTGCCTAACTAGCTGGATTTGCCACACAGCTGGTTAGTATTAGCGATACTGCCCATGGCTACTCAACACAAGTTCTCCTTATGCATTGCTGATTGGCCAGCATCATAATTGGAACCATAAACTTGGCCAAAGTCACACTTTTCTCAAACCAATTGAATTCATCAATTCAGTACAGGGCCACACAAACCCAAAAGAGTAGACCAAAACAGTCCTTAATGACATTCCATCATAGAAATGTAGTTTACGTAATAGAGTCGAACCGTGTCAATCTATGCAATTCAAAAACCCCAACAAATTCAACCATTATGCTCCATGGAAGATGCATTCGCTCTAGTTCATTCGGTTTTTTACCTCTGTCTTTGTTTTTCTCCTTCCCTAGTGAATCCAGTTTCTTTCTCAAAGATTTCTTTCTCTTTTGTCCATCTGTAAATATTAAAAGAATGAACAGTTGTAAAAACAAGCACACAAGTGATATTTTACATTATCAATAACTACATTTGAGCAAAATCATGACTTCTCACTTACTTCACTCATAATTTGGCATTTTACACAGAGTAATGGCTCTGAAAACACATGAAAATCCCTGTCTTGGATTGCACACACAACCAGAATCTTGGTGTACACTGTTAAATTTTGTTTCAGTCATGGAAAGTACAGAAAACTTACCTCTTTTGGAAGTAGTTTAGTTTTGACACATATATATGTTTGCTTTTACTATTATGTGAGTCTCTTCCTATTCTACATGTTTATGCAAACCAATGTCCATCTTGAATCAAATCTCCATGAGAAGAGAGTTAACAATACATATGGCTGTGATGTTCATGAGCTAGTAGAGTGTAACTGGACAAGGAAATGAATTTGGGGGTCCACAGAACTCAGATCTAATTATTGCTGCACCATTTACTAACTGTGTGACTTTGGACAAGTCTCAGTGTCCTCATCTATAAAATGGGAATTTCATGGGGTTGTTGTGAGAATTAAATAAAATGATGTATATAAAGTGCTTAATGGGGAGTCTGACACATGTCCATAAATTCAGACCTATTTTCTTTTGGGGAGTTGCATAGTATTCCATAGTATAGCTATACCATAATTTAATTAACCATGTCCTTATTGATGGACACTTGGGTTGTTTCTAATTTTTCACTGTAATAAGTAAGGCATATATCCTTTTAGCATCTTGTACTTGCAACAAATGTACCTAATACGTCTGGTTAACTCAACAAATAATAAAGATACCATTCATATCAATAGGCAGCTGCAATTGAATTGCTGGGATGTCTTCATAAAATATTGGCAGTCGTTGCAAGAATGCGTTTCAGGATTATGCAGCTGTCAACTTAACATGCGGGAGGTGCAAATCAGGAATCCACACTGTGATCAAATAGGGGAACTGCAGCCCATGACACAAGGAAACTTATGTTTAAAAGGGGGATTAAGAATTGTTTTTTTTATAGGATACACTAAAAAGTGTAGTAAAGAAAGAGACTCAGACCAATAAAATTTAAAAGCAAGACTGATATCAGGAAAAAACAGAGTAAGCATTCTTAAACAGAAATGAGCATTCCTGGGATCCTCAAGGGGTTGCAGATGTTCCCAACTCCTCCTCTCTGAATTTTTGGAGGCAAAAGAAATCACAATATAACGAACAGGCGCATTCAATCCCTGCTCCCTTTCAAAAAGCAAAGAAATATTTCAAAAATTATTCTCCTCTTATAAAATGGAAATAGTTCATAAGAGTCTTCACTCTTGGGGCCGGCTCGGTGGCACAAGCGGTTAAGTGCGCGCACTCCGCTGTGGCGGCCCGGGGTTCGCCAGTTCGGACCCCGGGTGCGCACGACGCACCGCTTGTCAAGCCATGCAGTGGCGGCATCCCATATAAAGTGGAGGAAGATGGGCATGGATGTTAGCCCAGGGCCAGTCTTCCTCAGCAAAAAAAAAAAGAGGAGGATTGGCAGATGTTAGCTCAGGGCCGATCTTTCTCACAAAACAAAAAAAAAGAGTCTTCACTTGCAGTCATGAGATTTGTATAAGGGAAAATTATGTGAATCAGTTGTAATGTGGCAAAGAGCCATCAATCTATTTCATCGTGTGTATGCTCTTATCTTCAGTGTCTAAAAGACAATCTAACTATAGGGCCTACCGTGACTTATTATATACATACAGACAATAAACATACTAACTGTACAAGATTCTAATCTGTTCTCCAAATAGGGCTGACAGGTCTTTTACTTTGTAACACTTTTGTTCATCATTAGTTCATATCACCAAATATATTTGACTGTAACAAGAGTATATTTCTTTAAAAAATCCTATAATTCCTGCATTTTAAATAGTTAACCTAGAAGAATAACTAAACCATATATTAAAGCATAAGAGATTTATTTTTCATAACTAATGGGCAGATCCTAAAATTCAAACAAGTTGTCAAAGAACCCGAATGCATATTGGATAGCGGATATTTTCTTAAGATAGAATGATTATTTTAAACTTCTTTTTAATTAGGGGATGTATCAAATATGCATATGTGTATAAATATAAATGTATAGCTTAAATAATAATGAGGAGGCCAACTCCTACATAACCAGCAGCCAAGTTCAGATGCAGACTATTGCTAGTACCCAAGGAGCCCGTGTATGCCTCGCTCCCCCTCACCCAAGGTAATCACTGGTCTGACTTGTACAATAATCAATTATCTGCTTTTCTTCATAGTTTTACCGTCTATGTATGCATTTATAAAGAATATAGGTTTGTTTTTCCTGCTTTTGAATTCACATAAATGGAGTCACACTGTAGGTATTCTTTCTTGCCTCATTTACTTCATTCATTAACACCTCCTAAAATTCATCCTGTTGAGGCAGGTAGTTGTAGGTCACTCATTTTGATTTCTCTACAGTGTTTCCTTGAATGAATATACCACAGTTAATTTATCCATTGAACTGTTAATGGAAATTTGAATTGCTTCTAGTCTGGGACTATCAGGAACAATGTTTTTGAAACATTTTGCTCGTGTCTTCTTACGTACATGTACCGGGGTGTCTCTAAGACAGTGGTTCTGAAAGTGTGGTTGTAGGAGCAGTAGCATCATTATTGCCTGGGAACTTGTTAGACACGCAAATTCTATGGTCCCCTCGCAGATGTACTGAATCAGGAACTGTGGGGCGGGGCCCAGCAGTGTGTGTTTTAACAAGCCCTCCCGGGGATTCTGGCTCACACTAGAGTCTGAGCCCACTGTTCTAGGCTTTAGTAGGTAATATTGAACTGTTTTCCAAGTAGTCTTGCTAATTTATGTTCCCACCGGTATGAGAGTTTACAGAGTCCCAGAAGAATAATATGTACTTCAAACTCCAAAACTCCAAACAATATCTTGAAGCAACCGTATAGGACAAAATGTGATCTTTGTAAATACTGGCCTACAAAAACATGCTTAGCTATTTACAACAAATATTATCTTTTTCACTTAATTAGACAGAGGTGAATGTTATTAATAGGCACCTGGACGAAAAGATGGATGATATGCAATAATGTGACATGATGCGTTGCTTTAGCATGCCATTTTCTCATTTAAAATCCTCAGGAAAATGACCAGAACTGCACAGTGAAACTGCTCACTCTTTCTCCTCTCTCTTGCACTCAATCGGTGGTTTGCGGATTGAGTCTTCAGTTTTTGAAGAGTGTCTTTTGTTCCCACAGAGCACAGAAAGTCTGCTCAAGAGACTGCTATATTATGCACTTACAACCACACGGAACCAGTTCTTTGGATGGCAATAAGTGTGATAAAGACCATTCCATCTTTTAAAAAAATTTAAGCTTCCTAACTAACAATACTGCACAGAAATGTTTTTATAGTGCAAATGGTGATAAGCACATGCTTACTAACTTCTCCCAGAGTGTGCACTGTCTTACAGACAACAGTGACCTGTAGAGAGAATTTGGGTCCCATATCCTGATCAAAGGCATCTTGGAACAAACACTTGGGGAGAGGACTCCATGTGTCCTCCTTTTACCTCATTAATATGCCAGTAGGAGACCATGACCCACATGGGAGACCCCACAGACATACATGACACAATAGCACATGGCAAGCCTTCACAGCCTAGTGATCCAAAAACAAGGGAATCATGAGTATGGAGTGTGAGGCCAATACCAAACAAGGTCTTCAGGAGGGTTGAGAACAAGAAAACATGAGATTGCTCCTCTAGGACATGCTTTTCACGGATTCATTGCTGTCAGGTGATGTTCCATTTTAAGGCCTGTTTCTCTAGCTAGACTAGAAGCTTTCTGAGGGCAGAAGCATGTCTCCTAGGCTTTCGTCTCCCTCCAAGTGAATAGCAGAGGGTGGGGCATGCCATGAAGACTTGTCAGCACTGTCCGTGGCCAGAAGTCAGATGGAGGTTTTGGGTTGGTTCTGACAGAACCCAGAACCAATGAAGTACACAACTCCTAATTTGAAGGTGATCAGATTCAGAGAATGCAGGTTATAAAACAGTATTTTCCGTATTAAATTGATTCTAGAGATAATAATATAAATATCATCCAAGGAAAGACTCATTTTTGGTGATAGATGAAAGAGTAAGGGCTACTTTTTGGGAATGGATATTGCCTGAAAGGGGGCATGAAGTAGCTCCTGGGGTGCTGGAATGTTGCTCTGGTTGGTGGTTATGTGATACATACATATTAAAAATCCATTGAGTTATACTTGTGCACATTCATATTTATGAACATTACTATTTATATGTCATTCCTCAATGAAAATAACAAAAGACTTCGTCATTTTTACAGAATGACACCAACATACAAATTACATTAGCTGAATGGGGCTGAAAACTCAGCCAGAAAGTCCTGCATAAGAAAGTTCCTGCATGTTTAACTTTTCCAAATATCTGAATACCTATGATCTCACCCGACCACTACGACTCCCCTGTGACACAGGCAGACAGCAGGAATAAATAGCTAGTGTTTATTGAGCATGTACTATAAGCTAAGAGCTTAGTATCCATGACCTTGTTACATCCTCACAGCGGCTCCCTGAAGCCCACACTATTATTTTTTCCTATTCTACAGATGTGGAAACTGAGGTTAGGAGACGTTAAGTAACTTGTTCAAGGGCAGAAGTTGGGAATCCGTAAATTCAGAACTTGCACCCAGGACTATCCAATGTCAAAGCCAGCGCTCTTAACCTCTACCTGTGCTGCAGTGAGGAAAATGTAGCACCTATTTGAGAGATGTGACATTAAAGGCCATGTATATGGACTAACACGCCCAAGGTAATACAGCGTTAGAGAGGAAAGAGAAAGAGAAACTAACAATTTTTAAGCTCTAAGTATTCATCAGGATTGTCATGAGTCATTTTTGTATATATGATATTATCTAATACACATCAACATACAATCCACTGAGGTAGCTTTTTGATTTACTCATCC